TCTTAAATATCGTTAAATAACTCCCTCCCCTCCTCTCTTCCCGCCCCCTGAGTGTGTTGCACCTCGACTCATTTGTTGAAACGAGTCAAGATGCTCCCACTACAGTGATGTTGAGGTGATTACTCCCTGCAACACTTCCACCACCTCCTTCTCTTCTTCTGGCCCCTTTTGTCCAACTCGTTCTGGATCTCTTCCACTTGGAGCTTGGTTTGACACAGCTCATCATTTGATTCCTTCAAAGACGTCTCCAGCTCTTCACATTTGCTCAGGGTAGTTTTGAAGCTTGTTTCCAGCTCCTGCAGAATCTTCTTGTGTTGTGCCTCCTCGGCCGTTTGCTTGTCAGATAGCAAAGTCTTCAGGTAGGCCACAGTTTGATCCTTGGTTTCTGCGTCCCTGTCAGCCTGCTGCAGACTAGTCTTTAGAGCCTTATTCTCGGCTTCAGACTTCTTCAGTTGTATTTTGGTCTCTGCAAGTTCCCCCACATTCTTTATGTTTTCAACTGCGTCTATGATGTGATATTTCTCTGCTTCATCCAGCTCCTCCTGCAGCTCCTGTGTCGAGGTCTGCAGCTCCTGGATCGTCTGCTCTTGCTGCTGTTGGAGCTTTTTCATCTTTGAGATTTCAGTTTCCAGCTTCATATTCCTTGCCTCGTCTTGTAAATGCAGTTGTTCTGCCGTATCCAGTTGTTCCCGCAGAGATAATGTGTCTTTCTGCAGGTCCATACAATAATTCTCCAGATGAAATTGTTTCTCAAGGACTTTTTCCTCATAATCATCCATCTGGTTTTGGAATTCTCGAGCCACAAGCTTTATCTCTTTCTCCCTTTTCTTAATGAATTCCTTTCCGTAGTCGATCAGGGTGTCTCTTTGCTCCAAGAACTCCTTAAGCTCATCAACTTTGAGCTGGAGATCATCGCGTTCTTGAACTATCTGGTCAGCTGTCATTCTCTGCTGATTCAGTTCATATTTCAATTTTGCGACTTCTGTCTTGAGCATCATGCTTTCAAAATCAACATCCATAAGCGTTAGGGCTGTTTGCTCCAGTTGTTGTTGCAGAGAGGCTACGGTTTCCTCCAGGTCCACACAGTGATTCTGGAGATTTATATGTTTCTCCTGGAGGTTTCCCACATAGAGATTGACCCCGTTTCGGATCTTCAGAGCTTCGTTCTTCATCATCTTCTCCCTGTTCTTAATGAATTTTGTCCCAAATTCTATCAGGGTGTCTCTCTGTTCTAGGAAGTCGTTTTGCTCGTTAATTTTTTGGTCTCGTTCTTGAAGTGTCAGTTCCAGCTCCGTCAGTCTCTGCTTCTGTACAGCGTTGACCTGGAGCTGTTCTTCGAGAGCTTTTTCAACCTCGAGGAGGCGAGCGAGCTCTACGTGAACAACCATGATCTGAGTTGAGTGGGGGTAGAGTCTACTTTCTGATGAAGTAGGAGTCTCAAGTAACTTTTCTACTTGAAAGTTCTGTTGCGTCTGAGTTCCGTCCGGTGCTCGTTCTGTGCTCAGAAAGGTCAGATATGAGTTCCTACACCATCTCTGGTCAATGCCTGTCTTTATGACATCATCGTGTTCTAGATGACGTTATCAAAGTGTTCCCATGGTAACAGAATGCTTTGTATTCTATTTGTGGTTGCTATGGTTACATACACATATACATTGGAGTCATTGGTCCAGAGGTAGCCAACTAGACTAATATTAATGTGTTTAATAAACATTTTTGGTACCTATACACCTATAGTAGTCTTTGGCCCCGTCCCAATTCTCACCCTTGCCCTTAAAAAGCATTATTATTATTATTTATCATTAGCATTATTATTATTATTTATCATTAGCGTTATTATTATTATTTATCATTAGCATTATTATTATTATTTATCATTAGCATTATTATTATTATTTATTATTAGCATTACACTATTTATTATCAGCATTATTATTATTTATTATTAGCATTATTATTATTATTTATCATTAGCATTATTATTATTATTTATTATTAGCATTATTATTTATTATTAGCATTATTATTATTCATGATTAGCATTATTATTATTATTTATTATTAGCATTATTACTATTTATTATCAGAATTATTATTATTTATTATTAGCATTATTACTATTATTCATTAGCATTATTATTATTTATTATTAGCATTATTTTTTATATTTGCATTATCATTATTATTATTTAGCATTTTTATCATTATTTATTATTAGCATTATTATTTATCATTAGCATTATTATTATTATTTATCATTAGCATTATTATTATTTATTATTAGCATTATCACTATTTATTATCAGCATTATTATTATTTATTATTAGCATTATTATTATTTATTATTAGCATTATCACTATTATCAGCATTATTATTATTGATTATTAGCATTATTATTATTTATCATTAGCATTATTATTATTTATCATTAGCATTATTATTATTATATCATTAGCATTATTATTATTTATTATTAGCATTATCACTATTTATTATCAGCATTATTATTATTTATTATTAGCATTATTATTTATTATTAGCATTATTACTATTTATTATCAGCATTATTATTTATCATTAGCATTGTTATTATTTATTATTAGCATTATTATTATTCATCATTAGCATTATTATTATTTATTATTAGTATTATTACTATTTATTATCAGCATTATTATTATTTATCATTAGCATTTTTTTAAATTTGCATTATCATTATTTAGCATTTTTATCATTATTTATCATTAGCATTATTATTATTCATCGTTAGCATTATTATTATTATTTATTATTAGCATTATCACTATTTATTATCAGCATTATTATTATTTATCATTAGTATCATTATTTATCATTAGCATTATTATTATTTATTATTAGCATTATTATTATTATTATATAAGCATTATCATTTTTATTAGCATTTTTATTATTTATTATTAGCATTATTATTATTCATCATTAGCATTATTATTATTTATTATTAGCATTATCACTATTTATTATCAGCATTATTATTATTATTTATCATTAGCATTATTATTATTATTTATTATTAGCATTAACACTATTTATTATCAGCATTATTATTATTTATTATTAGCATTAGTATTATTATTATTTATCATTAGCATTATTATTATTATTTATTATTAGCATTATTATTTATTATTAGCATTATTATTATTCATGATTAGCATTATTATTATTATTTATTATTAGCATTATTACTATTTATTATCAGAATTATTATTATTTATTATTAGCATTATTACTATTATTCATTAGCATTATTATTATTTATTATTAGCATTATTTTTTATATTTGCATTATCATTATTATTATTTAGCATTTTTATCATTATTTATTATTAGCATTATTATTTATCATTAGCATTATTATTATTATTTATCATTAGCATTATTATTATTTATTATTAGCATTATCACTATTTATTATCAGCATTATTATTATTTATTATTAGCATTATTATTATTTATTATTAGCATTATCACTATTATCAGCATTATTATTATTGATTATTAGCATTATTATTATTTATCATTAGCATTATTATTATTTATCATTAGCATTATTATTATTATTTATCATTAGCATTATTATTATTTATTATTAGCATTATCACTATTTATTATCAGCATTATTATTATTTATTATTAGCATTATTATTTATTATTAGCATTATTACTATTTATTATCAGCATTATTATTTATCATTAGCATTGTTATTATTTATTATTAGCATTATTATTATTCATCATTAGCATTATTATTATTTATTATTAGTATTATTACTATTTATTATCAGCATTATTATTATTTATCATTAGCATTTTTTTAAATTTGCATTATCATTATTTAGCATTTTTATCATTATTTATCATTAGCATTATTATTATTCATCGTTAGCATTATTATTATTATTTATTATTAGCATTATCACTATTTATTATCAGCATTATTATTATTTATCATTAGTATCATTATTTATCATTAGCATTATTATTATTTATTATTAGCATTATTATTATTATTATATAAGCATTATCATTTTTATTAGCATTTTTATTATTTATTATTAGCATTATTATTATTCATCATTAGCATTATTATTATTTATTATTAGCATTATCACTATTTATTATCAGCATTATTATTATTATTTATTATTAGCATTATTATTATTTATCATTAGCATTATTTTTCATGTGTTTTAACTGTTGATTCTCTGACCTGTGTTGGTGATTTCAATGGTTTTGTTAAGTCTCTGAGATGACTTCTGTTGTGACCTAGGGCTATACAAGAATACATTGTATTGTATTTATTATTAGGATTATTATTATATATTATTAGCATTATTATTATTTATTCTAACATTGATAAAAGTACAGTCTTTATTCACAGCATCAACACATTTATGACCAGAGCAGGTGCAAAGATCACAGTAGTTCTTCAAACTTCTGCTGCAGTAGGACTCTCTCTGGTCTCTCTCTGATCTCTCTTTGATCTCTCTTTCTGGTCTCTCTGGTCTCTCTCTGGTCTCTCTCTGGTCTCTCTCTCTGGTCTCTCTCTCTGGTCTCTCTTTGATCTCTCTTTCTGGTCTCTCTGGTCTCTCTCTGGTCTCTCTCTGGTCTCTCTCTGGTCTCTCTCTCTGGTCTCTCTCTCTGGTCTCTCTCTCTGGTCTCTCTCTGGTCTCTCTCTGGTCTCTCTCTGGTCTCTCTCTCTGGTCTCTCTCTCTGGTCTCTCTCTGGTCTCTCTCTGGTCTCTCTCTCTGGTCTCTCTCTCTGGTCTCTCTTTCTGGTCTCTCTTTGATCCCTCTTTCTGGTCTCTCTCCGATTTCTCTTTCCGGTCTCTCTCTGGTCCCTCTTTGTGGTCAGGACTAAACCAGACACCGCCCTCTTGTGTCCAGACCTGGTACTACCTGCAGCTCAGCCTTTAAACACACAGATTTCCCAAATACACAGCAGAGAGTATTTTCAAAACCCAGAGACGTCAGAACCTCCTGTAGGACTGGACTCGGGTCTGTAGGACTGGACTCGGGTCTGCAGGACTGGACTCGGGGTCTGTAGGACTGGACTCGGGGTCTGCAGGACTGGACTCGGGGTCTGCAGGACTGGACTCGGGGTCTGTAGGACTGGACTCGGGTCTGCAGGACTGGACTCGGGTCTGTAGGACTGGACTCGGGTCTGCAGGACTGGACTCGGGGTCTGCAGGACTGGACTCGGGTCTGCAGGACTGGACTCGGGGTCTGTAGGACTGGACTCGGGGTCTGTAGGACTGGACTCGGGTCTGCAGGACTTGACTCGGGGTCTGTAGGACTGGACTCGGGGTCTGCAGGACTGGACTCGGGGGCTGTAGGACTGGACTCGGGGTCTGCAGGACTGGACTCGGGGTCTGCAGGACTGGACTCGGGTCTGCAGGACTGGACTCGGGGTCTGCAGGACTGGACTCGGGTCTGCAGGACTGGACTCGGGGTCTGCAGGACTGGACTCGGGGTCTGTAGGACTGGACTCGGGTCTGCAGGACTGGACTCGGGTCTGTAGGACTGGACTCGGGGTCTGTAGGACTGGACTCGGGGTCTGTAGGACTGGACTCGGGGTCTGCAGGACTGGACTCGGGTCTGCAGGACTGGACTCGGGGTCTGCAGGACTGGACTCGGGTCTGCAGGACTGGACTCGGGTCTGTAGGACTGGACTCGGGTCTGCAGGACTGGACTCGGGGTCTGTAGGACTGGACTCGGGGTCTGCAGGACTGGACTCGGGGTCTGTAGGACTGGACTCGGGTCTGCAGGACTGGACTCGGGTCTGTAGGACTGGACTCGGGGTCTGTAGGACTGGACTCGGGGTCTGCAGGACTGGACTCAGGGTTCTATCCAGACCGAGCCGGTTCTAAAGTGACAGTGCTGATAGAAGACGTGGTTACCCAGGAATTTCCCAGATACAGGTTTGTTGTAGAGTATTTATTTGTTCAGCACAGTTCACAGTGAGCGACAAACACAGGTCTCTAACTCTAACCCAGAAGTCCTCAGAGACGACTGCGGCTGTGCTTTTAGAGCCACAGGCGCAGTGTGGTCTTTACACAGCTGTATACAAGTCACATGACACAGCAGCAGCTGATTCTGTGACAAAAACAATCATTCTGAAAATAATCACTAACACCTGTGTAATTAGCCTTTAACACCTGTATAATTAACCACTAACACCTGTATAATTAACCACTAACACCTGTATACTTAACCACTAACACCTGTGTAATTAACCACTAAAACCTGTGTAATTAACCACTAACACCTGTATAATTAACCACTGACACCTGTATAATTAACCACTGACACCTGTATAGTTAACCACTGACACCTGTATAATTAAACACTGACACCTGTATAATTAACCACTAACACCTGTATACTTAACCACTAACAGCTGTATAATTAACCACTAACACCTGTATAATTAACCACTGACACCTGTATAAATAACCACTGACACCTGTATAATTAACCACTAACACCTGTATAATTAACCACTGACACCTGTATAATTAACCACTGACACCTGTATAATTAACCACTGACACCTGTATAATTAACCACTAACACCTGTATAATTAACCACTGACACCTGTATAATTAACCACTGACACCTGTATAATTAACCACTAACACCTGTATAATTAACCACTAACACCTGTATAATTAACCACTGACACCTGTATAATTAACCACTGACACCTGTATAATTAACCACTGACACCTGTATAATTAACCACTGTCACCTGTATAATTAACCACTGACACCTGTATAATTAACCACTAACATCTGTATAATTACAAACACCTGTATATTTAACCACTGACACCTGTATAATTAACCACTGACACCTGTATAATTAACCAGTAACACATTTATAATTAACCACTAACACATGTATAATTAACCACTAACACATGTATAATTAACCACTGACACCTGTATAATTAACCACTAACACCTGTATAATTAACCACTAAAACCTGTATAATTAACCACTAACACCTGTATAATTAACCACTAACACATGTATAATTAACCACTGACACCTGTATAATTAACCACTAACACCTGTATAATTAACCACTAACACCTGTATAATTAACCACTAACACCTGTATAATTAACCACTGACACCTGTATAATTAACCACTAACACCTGTATAATTAACCACTAACACCTCTGGGGCGACAGTAGCTCAGTTGGTAGAGCATTGGCCTTAAGCCCAGAAGGTCGTGGGTTCAATTCCCACCTCTGCACCTTCTCCACCGACTCCCACTGATGACTGCTGTCGTTGTGTCCTTGGGCAAGACACTTAACCCCACTTTGCCCAAAGCCCCCACTGAAAGATCAAGGCTATGCTCACACTCAGAGAGCAGCCGTCCTCCTGTGGACTCACCACCTGCAGAGGATCAGTGAGGACCAGGAGGAGTACTAAGGTCTGGAGGTGCTCCATTGAGCTCCGTTTAAAGGTGGGAGGGGTTAACTCCTTTTGCAGATTGAAACCAGTGGATTGGATCCGAGTTTACCGTGACGTATGTAATGCGCCTGAGTGAGTTGTTAGCAT